TTCTTTCTTTCTTTCTTTCTTTCTTTCTTTCTTTCTTTCTTTCTTTCTTTCTTAACAAACTAACTAACTAAACTAAAACTAGCAACTTTTCTCAGCCCAATGTGATGTCTTCAGTACACTACTGAAATGTGAATACCTTAAGGTATTCCTTACCTATTTTGTGTAATCTTACTAGTGCTAAGTCTCAAACAATATCAGCAAGTGAAAAGTGACTTTTAATAACACTTTGCTCTTCAGATGTTCACAAGCTGTTTTCCTATTAACCAGGAATTGTGATTCTTCTCCTTTCCCTTTTATTCAGTCCTTCAGTCACACCTGGGTGTTTTCTTGTGATTCACTGAGAGAAAATTGCTTTCTTTTGCCTATTTTAGTCCTTCCTGTGACACCTTGTCCTAGATTCTGTGTAATTGTTCCTAAAGTGGCAGAATGCAACCTGTTTTCTTTTCTCATGTGAAAAGTCCATGATTTTGCTGAGTCTCTGGGTTTGCTATTAAGGTGACTGTTACAGTAATCCGACTCAATGCTCCTCTTCCTGTGGGCCTGACCATTACTTAGCACCCTGCTTAGGGGAGCTGTCTAATTTGGTATACGTATGCCATGGGGATTTGTTAACACAGAAAAAGATGTCTCATTAAAATGTACAGGGTTATTTTTTCTCTAGCAGTTCAGAATTGAACTAGCTCTCTCAAGTTCTCCACCCACACCTTTTCCATAATAATGGATTTATAAAGGCTTTACTCACGTCAACAATAGGGCTTTCCACCTCCGACCGCTGTGCATTCCACTTAGAGATGGGCCCAGCTGCAAGCTGTGCATCCAGATCAGGATCCATACTATTCTGTAGCTTTGAGGTGTCCAGATCTGGGGCTTCTTCATAGACTTTAAATCCATAAAGGATCATTATAATACTTGCTCATTTCTTGTAGGGTTAGCAAAGGAACAACATGGCTGATAGTGACTGCTCTCTGCCCCTCTAGCCAATCCCCTCCCATCCATGAAGCCTGATTTCTTGGCGCATCTGCTGATGGGATTCAGCAGGAAAGAGGAGACAAAGATGAATCTTCTTTCTCACAAACACACCCTGCCCATATTTGCTGGGTTTTCTTCCCTCCATTTATGGAGGCCGAAACGACAGTCCGGCCCATAATTTGGAAAATATGTTATCCTTTTTTTTTAAGTGACTTGTGGGTCACCCATGATTGCAAGGGGAATCCATATATAGTGGAACCCATTGATAGGGAAGTATTATTTTATTCCAGAGAATATCTTCACGCTAAGCAGAATTGCAATTTGCACATTCCAATACTTTTAAACAATCTGGGCTTTTGTTTTACTTCACTATGAAGCAGTTTTGCTATCAACAGGTTTCAGTGTATTTATGCATCATAAATGTGAAAACCTTATGTTAAAGATATATTAGGGTAGTACTGAATATTTGAAAATGCCAAGAAATGCAAATTAGACATTTGGTTTGGGATTTCATGCCTATGGAATATAGTAGATTTGATAAAGGTGATCACAGATTATAGTTAAAATATTAGAGGAGAGTGACATTTTTAGTTGACATCCTATGGAAAATAAAGGTTTGGTAAAATAAAACATCAGTGAGAACTGGTAGAGCATTGTCAAGGTAAGTGGAAAATTGTAGATACAACAACTGTCGTTTTTAAGATGCGTTCTGAACTGCCTAAGAACATATGAAAATTAATTATGCCATTATTTATCTCTGCTCTTTACCTTGCTTCTTACACATGTAACACACATGTAGAGTATAGGTGTTTTCATTTTGTGCTTTGCTTTACGTATTTGGTTGTGACTGGCATATTCTGTTTGGAATGGTTAATCATTTACATGAGAGTTCTCTGCATTATGAACAACAGCAAGTCATTTACATGTTACTTTTTCTTCCATCTTCAGAGGAAAGAAAAAGCTAAAAGACATAGTATTATGCCACACAAGTGGGGTTGCCAGGCATCCGGTTTTCGACCCCACTTGTGTTAAAAGACCGGGCTGTTAAAAGTCCGGTCGTCAGTGCAGTGGAGGCCCAGGGCTAAGGCAGGCTTCGTGCTCCTCCCGGAAGCGACTCCCAGGTCCCTGCAGCCCCTGGGCACTGGGGCAGCCAGGGACTGGGAGGCTCCGCATGCTGCCCCCACCCTGAGTACTGGCTCTGCAGCTCCCATTGGCCGAGAACTGTGACCAATGGGAGCTGCAGGGGGTGGTGCCTGCAGGTGCGAAGGCAGCTCGCACCGTGCAGAGCTGCCTGGCCGCCCATGCGCCTAGAGGCTGCAGAGATCTGGTGGCCACTTCCTCGGAGCCGCGATAAGCACTGCCGGGACCCCGGGACCCAACCTGCTGGCCCAGCCTCTAGCCCCCTCTCAGACCCCAAACCCCTCAACTCCGGCCCCACCCCCAGTGGGAACCCTCACCCCCAGCCGGAGCTCTCACCCCCCTGCAACCCTGCCCCAGCCTGGAACCCCCTCCTGCACCCTAAATCCCTCATCCCCAACTCCACCCCAGAGCCTGTACCCCCAGCCCAGAGCCCATACTCCCTCTCGGACTCCAACCCCATGCCCCAGCCTGGTGAAAGTGAATGAGGGTGGGGAAGAGTGAGCGATGGGGGGGGGGGAAATGGAGTGAGCGGGGGCGGGGCCTCAGAGAAGGGGCGGGGCAGGGATGTTCAGTTTGTGTGATTAGAAAGTTGGAAACCCCCTACACATGAGAGCTGAGGTCAGATGAGAATCTAATACTGTTTGACCAGTGGGAGCATGGCATTCTCACTAGAGGTTAAGTTCACCCATCAAAGTACAAGTCTTCTGAGCTTGAGGGCATGATAGGTAATCCCTTGGGTAATGTACTTTAAATAGTTTGTGAGCCCTCTAGTGACCCTCTCTGTCATCTGTGTTCCAAATGCCCTCAGAGGCTTGCCTGAGCAGCAGTGTGTCTATGTAGCTAGGCCTTGCATGGTATATATAGTTAGTAAACATGGTTACCTGGACCCCACTATGCCCAGTGTAGTTTCTTTATATTATGTTTGTTGTATAAAGATTAAAAGACACAGCAATGCTGGTCAATGTCATGTGTGTGATCTTTTTAAAATAGTATTGCATGTGTTACAGAGACCTATGCAGATTTTCCAAATCAAAATAGTAAATAAAATGACTACTAGCATGAAAGACCTACAGGTGCTCAAAAACTCAATAATTTATGCATCTTCCAGCTCTTCATATGAAAGCAGTGGCATCATGGCAACTGGCCTAAGGTATTTATTAAAATGGAGTGTGCCACTTGGACAAGTGGAAGTAATAGAATATGGCAGCAGTGAAGGCCAAGGAGAGAACTGCAGATTCCCACCTCAGCACTCAGCCGAGAATGTCATCGTTAATGTTAAGCCAAGTAAGTGACAGGCACCATTATTGATGGATTTTACATTCTGATTAAGGCCCTGGTTCAGATTTAGATGGGTGATTGAAAGCAAAAAGGAAAGCGTTCTCTGTATGTTTATTCTTGCATTATGTACAATAGTTTTTTAAAAATTCTGAAAATGCATAAAGTTCTAACCAGACTTTTGACTTACTATGAGACTCACCTTTATTTATGCCACTCGGTAGTGACAATGATTGGGAAATGCAAGACACCAAACTTTACTGTGTTGATTACTTGTGGGTCCTGTCCTGTCCTGGGTTGATTACTTATGGGTCCAGCCCTGAGCTTTGCAGCCACAGCGCTGTAAGAAGATCATGGCTGGTGGTGGGGAAGATTCCTCCAGAGGTGATCGTGAAACATTTCTGGCAGGTTTCTTCACAACTAAGTGGCAGTCAGGAGACACCATGTATCCCAAAGAAGTCCCCCTGACCAACACCTCCAAAATAGAGCTTGTTTGGTGAGAGCTTGCCTAAGCATTTGGCAGTGGGAGATGAAGAGGTGACACCCCCTCCAGAGATCCTTCCCACAAGGGGAAAACTTTCTGTTTATTCTGGAAAAGGACAGGCTCCCCTCCACAACCCTCCCTGTTCCCCCTTGCCCCCATTACTGCTGGAGCCACACAGATGTTCAGGGCCGCCCAGAGGATTCAGGGGGCCTGGGGCAAAGCAATTTCGGGGGCCCCTTCCATAAAAAAAAGTTGCAATACTATAGTAACATGTATTTGGAAATGTAAAAAATAACCAATGAAATACATTCAAAAATTAATTTTTAATAATTTGAAAATACACGAAATACATTATTTAAAAACATTAAATCCTTTAATGGTATGTATACATTTGCAATTACATAATGGGCTGTCGCTGGGTGATGGTGATGGTTGGTGCCAATGGGCTGTCGCTGCCTGGGGGTGGTGCTGCTGTTGCCCAGGGCTGGGTGGGGAGCTGGGCTCTGGGTCGGGGGGTGCCCGGCTCGGAGCTGAGGGTCTGGTCTGTTGGGGGATGGAGTCAGGGGGTGCCCGGCTCAGAGGGGCTGGGCTTGGAGCTAGGGGTCAGGGCTGTGGGGGGAATGGGGTCAAAGGGGTGTCCAGCTCAGAGGGGCTGGGCTCGGAGCTGGGGGTCAGGGCTGTGGGGGGATGGGGTCAGGGGGGTGCCCAGCTCAGAGGGGCTGGGCTTGGAGCTGGGGGTCAGGGCTGTGGGGGGGATGGGGTGTCTGGCTCAGAGGGGCTTACCATGCTGCTTACCCCCGCCTCCCCTCTCCCGGAGCCTCAGCGCGCCGCATCCAGGAGCGGCCCTGGACAGTGCTGCAGCGGTGTGGTGGCTCCAGCGGGGCCTGAGCTCCCGCCACTTGGCCACAGCTCGCAGCCCCGCCCCCTTACCACGTGGCTCGGAGCGGCGGGAGCTCAGGCCCCGCCCGAACCACGCCGCTGCAGCGCTGTCCAGGGCCACTCCTAAACATGGTGCGCTGAGGCTCCGGGAGAGGGGGGAAGGGGAAGGTGGAGGCGGGGGGGAGCCTCCAACATTCTCGTGGGGGCCCCTGCGGGGCCCGGGGCCTGGGGCAAATTGCCCCACTTGCCCCCCCTCCGGGCGGCCCTGCAGATGTTATTGTAGGTTTAAGTGTGCACTAACTACTGCATTCTCCATAGCCCTAGCAGGAGTGAGAGGGCTGGGGATATACATTGGCCTGCTTGGAGGGGCTTATTTACATGAGTTTCCTGTCTCCCTACCCATTCAAGCAGCCCAGAAATCCTACCTACTGAGCAGGTGCGGATCCCTTCGTCTGTTAGGAACAGAGGAACTGCCATGCCAGATACAACCATTAGTCCATATAGTCTGGTAGCCTGTTGCTGACAGTTGCCAGTGCCAGGTTTTACTGTAGTGGGCATTAATGGGATAACCTGCCTATAGGGGAATCTTCTTCCTTAAAGAAGTGATCTCATGCCCTGAAGTTTAAAAGTTTATTTCCCTTATACACTGTTTAATATACATCCTATCTACATGCTGTGCCAACTGTCCCTAGGATTGGTCAGCCTGATGCACAACATGTAAACGGGTTTCAATCGTTAGTCTTTCTGTATGCGATGAATGATTTTTTTATCCTGTGTTTTGCTTGGATGCGTTTATTTTAAGCTCATCTCTTTTTTGCATTCTAAACCCTTGCTGTTAGCTGGCAGTACTCCCTTCTGAGTTATTCAAGAGCTGTGGTTTAAAGCAGTTTCAGTAGCGAATCAATGCAGTATGTCACGCTGTACTTATTTAATGTCACTCTCTTGGCTTTTGCTTCATGCCATTCACCACATTCACCTGAAAAGAAATATTGTACCTCAGAGCTGTTTGGGATCTATCTTAAATATATAGCACCTTCCTGATCACCAAAAGTAGCAGAGTTCTCTTGCCCCTCCCTCCTAAGTGATTCTGGGTAAAATTTTCAAATGTGCCTAAGTTACTTAAGAGCCAATGGGACTAAGGCCCAATCCTCAAAGGTATTTTTAGTGAAGTTAAGACCTAAGAGCCTGTGTCACTTTTGAAAATGTTGCTCTCTGTGTTACACATAAGGTTGTCAACATTCTAATTGCACAAAACTGAACACCCTGGCCCCACCCTCTGCCCCGCCCCTTCCCCAGACCCCATCTCTGCCCCGCCCTTCTCTGAGGCCCTGCCACCCGGGTACCTTTTCGACCGGGTGTTCCGATCGAAAACTGGACACCTAGCAACCCTATTTACACCAGCAGGCTCAGGGTCTGTTCTCCTTTGCTGATAATAAGCCTCAGGCTTAGCTTAGCTGGGCGTTGATTAAGTAAGTGGTTAAGTTCTGTTCATTTTGTTACCCCATTCTCTCACCCACCGTCCAAAACAGGATAACATTACACAAAAGAGTATGGGAGGTGGCGTAGCTAGAGAAAGGAGATAAAAGAGAAAAGACAGACCAGAAGGATAGTAGATATGCAAAGGAATATATGAGTCTTCAACAATAGTCAGACTCTTCCTTCCCAATTGATGAGCACCCCCCATTAAGCTAATCAAACATAATCAGAAACTATGAAAGAAAAGTGAATGCAACCCCAAAGTCTACGGCATGCCTGTTTATGCACTACCAACCACTCTGAATACAGGTTTGTATTGGATTGGACTGAATCTTGCTTAAACCCTGAGGAACTCCCTTCCTATTTCTTGCTAAAGATTAAAGGAACCCAGAAAATATGATCTTGCTACATAGAAAGAAAACTAGCAAAGTTCTTAACATTCATGTGGGTATCATTGCACATATACTGCAGTAGCTATGCAGTTTACTTATTTCACCTCTGTACTTTCAGAATGCTTCAAAGAGATGCTCTGGTGGGACGCCAAATGCATTTAATAAACTCTGAGAGAAAAAAATTCTTATTCAGACAGTTTGGGGTCCTATGGGTGAAATCCTGGCCCCACTGAAGACAACTGGGAGTTTTGTCATTGACTTCAGTGGAATCATGATTTCACCTCATATTTCCAGTTTCTAAAACTACTAGCAATTAGAGAGAGAAGAAGAGAGACAGAAATTGTGATTAGATTTAAGTGCATTAAGTGCTTGAGGATTAGCTTTGCCTTGTCTTGGAGGACTGAGAAAAGGAGACTTGTAGGTGCAGCCTTGGCAGTGAAGTATTTAGACTCCATAAGACTAATACTCTCATGTTACTGCCTGTCTCAGCAAGGATTTTTGATGAGTTCCAACTGTATCCTTACAAGGATTGTAGGTAATTACATCAGTTTTACCATGGCATTCTTCACCCCCACAAAACCTTTTGTATAAGGGGGCAACTGTCACATCGTATCCCGTTATTATTGGCCTAATTTGTATAGCTCTGTACTCTATTCTCTTTGGGTCATTTCTGTTAATCACTACAGTGAGTCAATGGGATTCTTGTAAATGCACTCGGGTTCATAAAAATGCTGGCTAAAATGTCGTTTGTATTTTAAGATTATTGCTTGATCCATCATGACAAAAGACGGAGATAAAAGAGGCAAACATCATCTTGGCCATTGCAGAGAATTGAATAGCCTGCATTTAAATTCATCCTATAAATTATATTGCACTGGTGGAGGGAGTTTGAAAGGTTTTATGAATACATTCAAATCAAGGGCCTGCGTTAACTACCATTGTTAGTCTGAAACAAGAGCTGTGTGAACACTTTTTGCACTCGGCAAATTTATGACATTTGTTCTCAAATTTTAATAGTAGCAAAAAGCAGTATTTGAAGTACAAATCTGCTTTTTTCCTTCGCTAGGCACGAAAAAATGTGTGTAGTTTGAGCAAAAAGGGAGAGAATTCTTCCCTTAGGACGGAGCTACTTGCTATGCTGTGGCTTCTGGATTGCATGTTTAGTTGTCCTAGTTTGAGCCCTATTTTCCTGAGTAGCTCTCATTGTTGCGAATGTGGGGAAATATTAGGTCCCCATTGTTTTGCAGAATCCTTCATGCAGGAATCTGCCTGATATGAACTTAGTGCAATATACTATGATTTCCAGCAGCCGCTGCCACTGCCTACATCCTCCAACTATATTTAAAGCAAAATATTTTATGTTTGCAGTTTGAAAATAGGGCTTGATTCTGATGTCATTTACACTGGTGCAAATCAGAAGTAATTCCATTTATCTCATTGGAATTACTCTTGATTTACAATGATGTAACAGATCAGAACCCACACCTGCAGAGTTTCAAATGAAAACATTTATCTTAACTCTGTATGCTAACAGCTGTGTTTCCCCATTGAGTCCTTCCAACCTAATGTGTTACAGAAGGTTTTCCTACTGAACTGTCTGCAGAATGAGTCTGGATAAGGTTCTTTCTTTAAAACCCCAACTACAAGATCATATAGGCCATCACCTAGTATCTTCATTTCCTTATCCAGTAAACTGTCAGTCCATAAATGAACTGTTCACAATGCTGAAGAAGCTACATTCAGGTGCATGTCTTTGTGCTTGCCGTTTCTAACACAAATATGTAGCAATGTGTCTGTGTGTGTATTATTTTTTAAAAATCTAAACCAAAACACTCCACTGCACACACTTCTCCTGGAGAGAGGATGAGAGAACAGACGCATGCTAAACGTCGGACACATGCTAAATGACACGTGCTAAATTACTCATTGCACTGCTGAAAGGAGTTCGGATCCTATGGGGATGAGTGCAGTATAAGAACCTATATAGAATAGAATATTCAGACATGAAAGTGGGAACGTTTTCAGAGTAATCCTGCTTCTTTGTTAGCATGAAAAGCAATATGGATACTCTCCTTCTTCTTGATTTATTGTGTGCCAGAAAAATTATGGTGTTGTTTAACAGGAAGCTTAAAAAAATCATGGATGAGTTATCAGAGAAAGCTTTTGTGTGATATATATGTATTTGATTCATCCCCATAATATTTGCAAGATGTGAGTGTTATGGGTTGTCACCCCTTGGGTGCAATCTGGGGGCTGTGGGAACCGTGGGGCCCCGCTCCAACACACAGCTGGGTTGGCGACATAGCCAGCCTCATCCAGGCCCTGTTATCATCCAACACAACAGCAGGTGGCGCCACTCACCTAAACTGGGCTACCCGCATGCAAACAGCAGACCGCAGCCAGTTTCCCAGCTCCCTAGGCACGCACCCCCCTCTGGAGTATAAACCCAAAATTACATAGTCTTGCACTGCACAGGGATCTTAGATAGATTTTAAGTGATGGAAAACAGATCAAAGCAGATTACCTAGTAAAATAAACAAAACCACAAGCCAAAGGGTAGGTCTACACTTACTTCCTGGTCCGGCGATAAGCAATCGATCTTCTGGGATCGATCCCGGAAGTGCTCGCCGTCGACGCCGGTACTCCAGCTCGGCGAGAGGAGAACGCGGCTTCGACGGGGGAGCCTGCCTGCTGCGTCTGGACCCGCGGTAAGTTCGAACTAAGGTACTTCGATTTCAGCTATGTTATTAATGTAGCTGAAGTTGCGTACCTTAGTTCGAAGTGGGGGGTTAGTGTGGACCAGGCCTAAGACACTAGAAAGATAGGTTATGAGCAAATTCTCTCCCTGACTGATGATACAAGCAGGCTTGCAGATTCTTAAGGGACCAGCTGCGCTTGCTTTGTAGCTTGGGATCCCCTCCCCCATTCCAAGTCTTTTTCTTTCGGAGCTTCTCTCAGGTGTTGAGTTGTAATGGAGTGAAGAATAACAGATGATGCCACTCCCTGCCTTATATAGCCTTTCCATATAGCGGGAACCCTTTGTTGCAAACTCAGTTCCCAGACCAGTTTGTGGAAAAATACAGGTACCCAAAATGGAGTCCAGAGTCATGTGGGCTGATCACATGCCCTTGCAGAGTCACAGCCGCCATTAACCATAGGATGTCTGGAGTGTTCTCAGCAAGGTTCACCAGGTGGGGGATAAGCTTTTCCTAAGGCCTATTGTTTTCCGTAATGGCTCATTACCCTGAACTGGCCCTTTACAAGCAGCTATTTAGATTGGCAGCATCTTGCCTAGTAGGCGTCACCCAGATGTGACTCCATGTGAAATACAGATCCATAGTCAATATTCATAACTTCGGATACAAAAATACATGTATACAAATAGGATAATCATATTCAGCAAATCATAACTTTTCCAATGACACCTTACATGACCTGTCTTATTCAAAATGCATCATAATTACCCCATAATCATATCATCATAATATCACTATGAAGAATAGGGGGTTCAGTGTCACAGTGGGCATTATTATAACGTTAGATTTTGTATCAAAGGTGAGAAGCAAATGCCATGATTTTGGACCCAGAGAGAACTAGGCAAGGGAAATAAATAATATGGAGAGATTTTAGACTAGGAAATCGCTGAAAATCTCACTAGGCCAGATACTCTTGGCAATGTATCTTTCCCATTCAGTAGGGCCAAATAGTGAACCTTTTTCTCCCACTGGTGAGTAGTTAGGAACAGGACTCACATGGACTTCGGTGAGACTATTCCTGTACATAACTGTTCACTTGTAGGAGTAAAGGATTCGCCATCTCTCCCTAAGTGATTTTATCTTCCAGGCAACATGGTCTGGGGAATGAGCATGAGGTTCAAGAAGTCCTGAATTTTAATATTGGCTGTCACTGACTTGCTTGCGTGACCTTGGGAAGGTTGCGTCACTTCTCTGCCTCAGTTTCCCAATCTCTCAAATGCGGATTCTAATACTAATCTGCTTCCCTCACAGCCATGCTGTGAGGATGAGTTGCTTTGAATGTTTTAAGGGCTGCCCACGTACTATTTATTTTTTTGAATTATTATTCTTTGTTTTAGTATTTTAAGTGTTGTTATATGCTAAACAACTCTCATGCTCTGAATTTCTTTCATATGCTCACTCCTCTTCCTCTTGGATGATCTTTGTGAGTGAATGGATTTGTTTGTGGGTTATTTTCTGCCTTGTTGGTATGCTCCTCTTTCTTGGCTTTTTGAAGAGGTTGATCGCACATTTAGGGCCCAGTGAAATGTCGTTTGATTTTAATTTAATAAAAGGGATGCAAGTTAGGTCCAATTCACTCAAAGAAAAGTGTACAGTAAGAGCAAAAAAATGCCACCCTGCACTCCCATCATAAACAAGGGGACGGGTCAGAATGTGGTGGATATGACTTACTGATTTTTGGTGTTCTCTTGTTGGAGAATGGTTGTCTCTTTCCAAAATAAATAAAATGAATGTCCTGGGCTAAATCCCTTGTATTCACCAAATCCAGACTATTCCCCTCCAAAAGCAATTTAACAAAGGGAGCAAGCTGCTTTAACTTACACATTCTTCCCTTTGCATGTAGAAGCACAAATAATAATGTTAGTGTAGAATCATTGCTCTTTAGGGGGACTTTATGGGCAAGTGTCAAATTTTATGTGGCTGCAGTTTACTTGACCTTTAGCAATTGGGATTCCAAATTGGCATATTGCTTGCTTTTGTGGTGATGGATCTGCTGTATCACATTTCTACATGGTGCTGCAGAGAGAGAGGCTATTTGGGAGCTTGTTACAGCTTCTCGGGATAGATCTGTGCCAGCCCCAGTGTAGGTTAAAGCAACCTGGGGCAAGAATACTAGAAGGACTGACTCTAAAGCAAGAAAAGGGGAAGGGATCCAGTGAGTCATAAGGCCTCTTTTGAGTGGGAAGCATGGGGCTGCCAGCTATGGCTTGGTTTGCTGTTGCTGGCCACATTGATCATTAATGATATACAGTATATATTATCACCCAGGCAACAGCACAATTTATTTTTGGCCACGTGGCTAAAAATTAACTGAGATTTAGAAAGAGGGAGGGAGAGATGTCCATCTCTCCTGTGTGTTCCCATACAATGCTGAGTATGTTGTCAGTGCTCAAGAAATAATAATACAATGAGAGAAAGATTCAATATATTGTGTATTATTGGTGGAAGTTTGGTGCTATTTTACTTTCATAGATTCACCTATGGTGGTGAGGACCATGGTTTAACCCCAGTTAAGTTATATATTTTCTCCCTTCATGAGCAAATTTTTGAGGATACATTCATATTCCACCCCCACCTGTTTGTGGTTTAGATCTCTGTGGTTTGTATTTGTTGTTATGTTGAATAACAAGAGCATGTCAAAATGCAGACATGATTCCCTCTACTGAGTTTCCTTCTGCTTTCTGCAGTCAGTTTATGTATGTCTCCAAAGGTTACCATGGAAACAAATGTGGGCGTGAGTTTGATTGGATATACTGGATACTTGTGTTTCTGTTAGTGTCTTGGAGAATATAAAACCCTTGCAGCATTTTCATCGGACGTGACAGGAAGGTTCCTTTCGAAAGCAGAAATAATACTACTCTGAGAGCTGTAGTAGAAATGGCTGATTTTGAACAGTGAGTCTAGAAGGGGAAAAAAATAAAAATGAAAAGATCTGAGCGCCTGTCTCGTCAGCTCCTGAAAGCAGGACATCTGCAATAGTGTCCAGCAAAAATGAGGCAAGATGTAAAAAATTGTTTCATATCCCTGGTTAGTGACAAATTTGTAAATTAGTGATGTGGTCTAAATTACTTTCAGTTAAAAGGGAAGGCGCTCCTGGGCTATTCTGCTTTCAGTTCCTCCTCATTTCCTGAAGAAGGAGCAGCTGAACTACTGAAACAGCAGCTCTTTTCCTTCCTCCTAAGGAAACAGTGTCCTCTGGGTTTTGCTTTGTTCATTGCCACAATTCCAGCTCTTCTGCTCCAGGCCCTACTCAGTGTGTGGCAATACAAACCGGTGCCCACCATTATGGACTGCAATATTGGTGAATTTTGGTCCTAAATTTTCCAGTGTAGATTGAAACTCCCAGTCCTTTACTCTCCCAAATGCACTACTTTCCTTCCTTCGTCTTGGCAGAATGCAGCTTCTTTCTCTGAGAAATGTTTCTAGCATTCCAGATTAAGTGGACTGTTTTATATTCCTTAAACTTCATTCCCAATGCATGAGCTACTTCTCACTTCCTTTTAAAAACCTCTGCGTTTCCTTGCTGCTATTACATAATCTCTCACACTAGGGACCCAGTGCTGCAAACACTTACTACCTTGCACAGCGTTTGCAGCTGCAAGAAATCCTATTGCTTGGAATGGGGCTGCTCACATGAGTAATGTTACTCGCCTGAGCAAGTGATTGCTGGGTTGGGTGATAGTGAACACAAAATTATCTCCAGCGTTAAGATCTGTCACATCAGGTGCATGCTGAGACAGCTCTCCAATGTTCACATTTATATTACATGAAAATGAAGGAGTCGCACTGACAGGAGGGTGAAGGTTGATCCAGCGGTCAGGGCATTGGTCTGGGACTTGGGTGGCTCTGGTTCAGTTTCCTAGCTCTGCTACAAACTTCTTATGGTACCATAGACAAGGCTCTGTGCCTCTTGATAATAGTACTTCCATACCTCATAGGTGTTGTGAGGATATATACATTAAAGATTGTGAGATGCTTGGGGCCATATCAGTACCTTAGATGAAAAGGGTGTCCTGTATGTTAGGAGTTTATTTTCTTGTAGAAGTTAGAGTGGGTAATGCAACTAAATTTCATGAGAAGGCTCCTCAAGTTGTAGGGTGAGTATCCTCCTGCCCCAGTTGTTAAAGGGGTTCACCCAACCTCTGCTCAAGAGAGTCACCATTTGGGGGCACTATGTGCTTCTGGAATCCCAGGTTTTGTTGGTGGCCAAAAGCACCTAGTATCATTAGCTTCTCTTAATGTGTTTGCATCCTTTTTCTTTCCAAGCCAGCCCTATCTAGACTGGATCCTTCACTGTACTGTATTTGGAGTTGTACTTGAAGACCACTCTAAAGCTGCAGCTTGTGTAGACTATGGCTGCCAAACTGCTTAGCCAGAAAGATGTATTACACATTTTCTAAAATCAGCACTGACTTCCTGTTCGCTTGAGTCCAATTCTAGATGTTGATTCTAAACCACATTAAGGTGACCAGATGTCAAAACTGAAATATCGGGACGCGGGGGGCGGAGCAAAAAAAAACCGCCGGAGCGCCGCCCCACCCCCGGCCAGTCGCGTCTGGGCTGGCTGCCCCGCTGGCGCAATCCCGCGGGCGGTCCCAGAGTGGGGGCAGCAGGCCCCAGCCCCCCCCGTCCCGCTCGGGTCCCGCAGGGAACGAACCAGGCTGCCGCTGCCTCCGCCCCAGGGCTGCCCGCGGGATTGCAGCAGCTGGGCAGCCAGCCCAGACGCGACTGGCCAGGGGCTGGGCGCAG